ACTTATTTGTCATAATACAAAAAGTACTTTTTCTAGTAAACAAGTCAGCAACATTATAAAAATGTATTATCTCTGATTTTGTGTCGAATATTGGAATTTGTCCAAGTACCCGGTAATTGGTACAAATAATTTAATGTTTTACGCTTTGAAATTTTACAATGTCTGGTTAAATGAATCACAAAATCCAATATTGATAATCTTTAACCTTTAAAAAATAGTACTGTTACTAATCCAATTGTTGAGAACTAAAAAAAAAATTCAATACAAACATTAGTATCTCACTAAAGAACGTGCGGTTTACATTTAATTTAAAATTTTTTTTAAAATGTTTAAAGAAAATGAAATAAATTTTTATAAAAATGATATAAATTTAAAAGAATTAATAGAAACACAAAATTTAAAAGCCACCGATGAAGCTTTATTTGTATGTGATTTGGAAAAAGTTAAAGAAAAATATGAAACCTGGACTAAGTTTATGCCACGCATTAAACCCTATTATGGTAAATATTTTTTAATTTTTTATAAAATAAACTATATTTAATAAAGTTTTTTTAACAAACTTTAGCGGTTAAATGCAATGATGATAATTTTATAGTAAAAACTCTGGCCAATTTGGGTACTAGTTTTGATTGTGCTTCTAAAAATGAAATCAAACAAGTTATAGAGTTGGGTGTAGAACCCGAACGCATTATATTTGCAAATCCCTGTAAACCGGTATCACATTTGGAATATGCCAAAGAGAATAATGTTAAATCGAGTACAGTGGATACGGAATTTGAAATCTATAAAATACATAAAACTTATCCGGAATCAAAGTAAGTAGAGAAAGGTTCAAGAACTTAAACTTGGGGATTAAACGACGTTTTTGTATTATTTTTAGTCTGGTTATACGATTCCGTTGCGAGGCCAAAGAAGCTCAATGCCCTTTGGGTGACAAATTTGGCTGTGATGCTGAAAGTGATGCCACGGCCCTAATGTTGTTGGCGAAAAGTTTAAATTTAAATGTTGGTACAAAATCCTTATTACAGGAGAAAGTGTTCTTATATTACAATATTTTATTTTTCTTTAGGTCATTGGCTGCAGTTTCCATGTGGGCTCCGGTTGTAATGATTTTCCCGCCTACGATCGTGCCATAACAACAGCTAAAAATCTTTTTCAATTTGGTGCTGTTTTAGGTTACGAAATGAATTTACTTGATATTGGTGGTGGATTTCCGGGTAGTGATGATAAGAAATTTGCTACGGTAGGGTTTATATTTAAAGAATTTTAGTTTTTCATTTTTAAAAAGAATTATTTTATTTTTTATAGATCGCTGAAATTGTTAATAAATCTATTAGCCGCCATTTTCCCCATGATAATGTTAATATTATAGCTGAACCGGGAAGATTTTTTGTAGCCTCTGCTTTTACTTTGATTTGTAAAATCCATGCTAAACGTGAGGCTAGAAATCCCAATGGTAAATTGCTAACAAAAATGTACTATTTGAATGATGGGGTCTATGGATCGTTTAACTGCATTTTGTACGATCATCAACATGTAACTGTGGAGCATTTTTTGGTGAGTAATAGTGAAATAGCGAAACAAAACTTGAAGAAAATTTTTTGTCAAAAACTCTTTTTTATTAAAAAACTATGGATTTATTCAGACCTACAAAATAGGTGAATTCGTTTCCTTATGATAAAAGTGATATATTTTGAATTTTTAGAAAAAATTTTAAATTTTTTGAAAAAATAAAATTTTTGGTAAAAAATTAAATTTTTGGTAAAAAATTAAATTTTTTTTGAAAAAAATTAAATTTTTAGTAAAAAATTCAATTTTTAGTGAAATTTTTAATTTTTAGTAAAAAATTCAATTTTTAGTGAAAAATTTAATTTTTAGTAAAATTTTAAATTTTAGTAAAAAATTAAATTTTTAATTTCTAGTAAAAAATTCAGTTTTTGGTGAAAAATTCAATTTTTAGTGAAAATTTAACTTTTTACTGAAAATTTGAACTTTTATTCAAAATTTTTATTTTTAGCGAAAAATTTAAAAAAAAATTTTTTTTGTGAAAAATTTAATTTTTGGTAAAAATTTGATTTTCTTACTGAAGTCCGGAATTGGAAAGGAATTCGAATACATATCCATTAATTTTACCTAAATTTCAATATCAATATTTGAGAAATCATATGTTCAAAATGTTCACCTTATGAACTAGTTCTATGGAAGCATTTTAGAGCCGATATTCATGCTTATGAATCGTACATATTATTTTTATAATTCCCATTCATCACATTCAAACTTTGGCCTTAAGCCCTCGAAGCTATATTTTGGTTCCTTATCAAAATTCTAAGACCATCTAGTGATGTCTGTCCGTCTGTCTGTTGAAAATACGATGGGACCCAAACGGGGGTAGTTAAAAGGCTAAAATTGTTTTTGAAACTAGGTATTACAGTTATCTCCACTTGTCTCCGACAATAGATTCTTCGAATCGGAGTAACTCGGAATTCAACAAACAACGTCCAAAAATTGTTTTTGGGAACGACTCGGAGTTTGAACCGTTTAGATTACTTTTGTTATTGAAAATCGGTATTAAAGTTCGCCGATATAATTATCCCCACTTTCTCACGCTAATTGATTCTTTGCACAGGGACAACCCGAAACTTATGGCAAAAATCGGACTGCTAGTTCTCATATAAGGTTCTTTCGAAAATTACTTCAATTTTCAAAACATGGCCACAACAAGTTCTTGAACCTGCAAATTATCCACTAAAGTTAATCTAAACTACATTATCCGTATATTAGTTCTATGTAATGTAAGGCATAGACCGTGTTAATTTTTTTTGAAAACAACATGGTCCATGTTTAGGATCATGTACTCCCATAATATTAGCTGTTTGTTCTATTGTAATGCATGTATGGATGTTGCTCACCTAAGACGTCAAAATAAAACATGTTTTTGCATATTTTTGGACCAGTCCTAATCCTTTGCGGAGTATTCTTTAATAAGGTGTGCAGAGTTGTTTAAATTGTTGCATGGGGCATTAAGATCAGTGATTCTTTTCGAAATTGTGATCTTCCGAATTGGTTTTGTGGGAGAGTTATGGAGTTAACACTCGTTCTATGGAAAGGTTCTGGAAGTAGTTCTTTAATTAATGACGTTCTAATCTAATTCCCTCTGAACTAGTTCTATGCAACTTCTTTAAAACACTTCTGGAACTAGTTTTTTTCAGCGATTTTTTTTTTTGAAAATGTTAAGATTTGGGCCAATTTTGAAAAAAGGAATTGTAGTTGACTCAATTATATTTAGAAACCTTACAATATCGAAAAATTCGTGTATTCAGCTGCTCCATAATCTATAGTTTGATCTCATTCTGGAACTTGTTACCTTAGAACAAATTCCATATATATTTTTGAAAATCTTAAAAACTAATGTTAAATTTTTTTTATATAATTTTTTTTTCTATATAGGAAGATGAAACCAATAATCTACCAACATTTAACACTTTAATTTGGGGTCCCACTTGTGATGCTTTGGATAAGGTAAGTTGAAGTAAATATTAATAAAATTTTTTTTTTATACTTATTCATAATTTTTACAGATTGCTGAGGATTTACAATTACCCGATTTAAAATGTGGTGATTACTTGGCTTTTCCCAATATGGGCGCTTACACTGTACCCATAGCTAGTCCATTTAATGGTTTTATGTTACCCAAAATATTATACTTTGAAAAAATGAAAATATGACAAATATTTGAAAATAAAATACAATTATTAATGCAGCTTAAGGGGAAAGTTTTAATTTTTATATTTATTAAGGGAATTTTAGATTATGTGAGTTTGTAGTTATAGAGGGTTTACTGTACTAGTTATACCTTACCTTTATTTTATTGCAAATAAGCAAAATAAGAAACAAATTTTTGGTTACTCCGCTTAAAAGTTTTGGATTACTTTTATTTCAATTTCAATTCATTTTGTGTAAATTAGAGTTTTTTATGTAATGTATAGAAAAAAATACATTTATAGTTTATAAAAGTAAAATAAATTTATCATAATTTTTAAAACAATATAAAGCAACAACTTAAGCTCTTTTTTTGTAACAAATAAAGCTGACCCTTTAAACTAAAAAAGAGCTTTAATTAGTTGTTGGTTTATATTCTTATAATAAATTAAAATTTAAAAAATACTTAAATTAATAAATTAGTTTTAGTCAATACTTAAGTACAAAAAACAAATTTGTAATAGTTTTTTTAAAACAAATTTGTTAGTTTTGTGAAATAATGTATTGACTTTTAAATAGTAAATTATATAGTTTAAAATTAACTTATAGCTTAACTAATTAAATCATTTATTAATTTTTTAAACAGCTGACCCTTGTTTTTTCTTTTAAACAAATGATTTAGTTAGTTGTTTTTGGTTAATAGATAATTATGTAATAAACTTTTAGTTTTTTCAAGTTTGTCTTAAAAAGCCCTTTTTAAAATGTTATTTTGTGGCACTTAAGAAGATATGTTTCGTTTCATTTTATTTTTTTTTCAATAATTTCTTAAATAATTTTTTTATTTTCCAATGATATGTCTGGAGTTATATTAAGCTGCATTTTTGCTTTATATTATTTTTTTAATATTATTTATATTTTTTATTTTTGAACCTATTGAGTTCAAACCACTTATATATTTTTTTATATTATTTAAATCAGTTCTCTTGTGTTACCAAAATAATAAGACAAAAAACTAACTTAAGCAGTATAAATTTCTAAAAAAAAACAATTTCTATTCAAGGTGCTGCTTAAGTTTAGTTTTAAAAAATATTCTTTATATTTTTCACATTTCTAACGTCATTTATATTATTAGACATTTATATATATATAGAATTTTCTGTTAATTATATTCTAAAGTTTTTTGTTTCTGAAAAAAAATTTCGAAAAAACACGCATAAAAAAGAAAATTAACGAAAAATGATTGTATCTCACAACAATATGACATTTAATAGTAGTTTGTAATATTTTCCTGTTTTTTTTTTATTTATAAAAAAGAGCATGCAAAATAAGATTAAAGGTTGTTACTTTTAGGAATTAAGCATTTTTTACTTTACAAAATATGTTTTTTCATGCTTTGGTTTAATATGTTTTTTATCCCCCATTATCTTCTTTACCTTAATATCAAAACAATTTCACTGATAATAGGCTTAAACAGGCCTATTCTGAATAATAAATTCCCTGGGAGTTTGTTCTCTTTTCTATACCTAAAGCACGCAAAAGGGAACAAACTCTCGGGGAATAATTGTTCATATTTGGCCTGATAATGTTTTAAAAGTGTCATACGGGGATTAGTTTGTTTGAATAAGGGGATTAGTTTGTTAATATGGATTTTCTACAAACAAATTTGTCCAAGAGAAATTGTATTAGTTCCCGAACTAGTTCTAGATCGCCTACATTTAGCTAACACTCATTCTAGTTTATCTTTGGAACCAACGATTTTTTCTAAATACAACTAGTTCTAAAATGCTAGCATACAGACTGCACTAGAACTAGTTTGCCTTTAAAATAGAGAATTCTTAGAGAAAATATCTTCTTCTTTGCAAACAGTTCTAGAATTAGTTCTTTTTGAATTGATTTCTGTATAATAATTGCGAGAAAACTAGTTCTTAGAAAGTTTTTCTAGAACACTTTTGGAACTAGTTCTTTTTTCAGCGATTTTTGTTTGATATTGTTAAGATTTGGGCCAATTTTGGGAAAACCTTAATGAAATGTAACTCAATTACATTTAGAAATCTTACAATATCGAAAAATTCGTGATATTTGGATCATTCTCGACAGTCTTCTTATATTAAAACATTTTTTATGTATTTTTTTTGTAAATCTTAAAAATTCAGTAAAGTATCTTTAGTTAACAAATACACATTCTTTGAAATAGTTATGAAACTAGTTTGTTTTTTGTATTTTCTTTAATAATTGCTAAAGAACTAGTTCTCTTCTCTTTCGAATTGCTATGCAAACCTCTAAAGAAATTCTGTAAAAGTCTTTCATACTATAAAATGCTTCTGAAAACAGTTCTAGAAAAGAATTACAAATCCTTGGAACTACTTCTCTTCTTTCGGTCACTGCTAAAGAACTAGTTCTTAGAAATACTTTAGATTTAAGATTATGTTCCGTTGAATGGAACTAGACACTAGTTGTAATTGAGGAATCTGAAATCATTCAGTTGTCAAATTTTTCAATGAATTTAAGCGAACTAATTCTAAATCTTTGAAACTGTTCTAAGTACTGGTTCTAAGATAAGAATCTGATATGATTCTTCGAAATAATTCTAGAACTGCTGCTTTTCTTTCTGTCACTGCAAGAAAACTAGTTCTTAAAAGTATTTCAGATTCATTATTAAGTTCCAGAGAACTTAATTTTTAGATTCACGATTATGTTCCGTTGAATGTGATATCACTAGTTACAAGGTTGTAATTGAGGAATCAGAAATCATTCAGTTGTCAAATTGAGATTCGCTTCTGGAAATAGTTAATTTTTCTTCGAAATAATTCTGTCATTGCAAAAAAACTAGTTCTTAGAAGCATTTCAGATTCATTATTAAGTTCCAGAGAATGGTATATCATTCTTTAGAACAAATCAATTCATCTCCTTTGAAACTGTTCGAGAACTAGTTTTTCTTTCAGAGATATTTGAACAGAAAAACTAGTTCTTAGAATAATCATTAGCAGAGATTGAGTTCTAGAAGTTGTGGCGATGTTAATAATTCCATGGTTGCTTCTTCTAGAATGAGTTTTTTCTGTGATTTTTTAACAGAAAACTCTTAAGAAGTACTTTAATACTTTCCTGAAAATGAGTTCCAATAGTTATGGCGACATCTCTGGTGTTTTAATCATGAATCTAAACGGAATATCGGAATTGATTTCGAAATTGTCAGAGATTTTACAAACTAATTCAACCCCTTTGAAACAGTTCTAGAACTAGTTCTGTTCTCAGTGAACTTCTAAAGAGTTTTTTAAGAAAGGAGGAACTATTCTTAAAAAGTATTTTAAAATTTCAATCGACTTTAGTACTATTTCTTTTTTCAATGATTTTTGTTTGAACTGATAAAGAACTGGTTCTTTAGAACATTAGAACCACTAGCATGGGTTCTAGAAGTAATGGCGTTATTTCTAGTTCTAAGGTTTTTATTCAAGATACAAGATTTTATTATAAAATCGACAATCTTTTCATAAAGCTCTTCTAGAACCAATTTCTTAAACAATGATTATGATTCGAAATTGTCTCCGATTTAAAATATTGAATCAGTTCTAGGAACTAGTTCTTTTTCCAATATGCTTTTAAAGAGTTTTTTATAAGAGAATAAGACTAGTTCTTTTTTCAATGATTTTTGTTGGAAATTGTTAAAGAACTAGTTCTTAGAAAATATTTTAGAAGTATTTTAGAAAGGGTTCTAGAACTTGACATTACTAGTTTCAAGTGGATATTCTTGAATCTAGTTCCAGCAGACCTTTGTCTTCAGAAGAAGAACTAAACAAATTATTACGGCTTTAAAACTAGTTCTTTATTGATTTTTGTTCAAAATTGTTAAGGAACTAGTTCTTAGAAAACACTTTTGAAATATTTTAGAAAGGGTTCTAGAATTAATGGTGATATCAGTAGTTTCAAGTAGTTATTCTTGCAACTAGTTTTTGAAATATTTTAGAAAGGGTTCTAGAATTAATGGTGATATCAGTAGTTTCAAGTAGTTATTCTTGCAACTAGTTTTTGCGGCCTTTGTCTCAGATTTAAAGCATTGAATGAGTTTTAGGAACTAGTTCTTTTTTCAATAAGGGTCTAAAGAGCTTTTATAAGAAAAGAACCAAATATAATATAAAAAATGGTTCTAGAACTAATAAAGACATCACTAGTTTCAATTTATTACTCTCGGAACTAGTTATTTTTGATAAAAACTACAAATTCTTTGGATCAATTCTAGAAAATGTTTGTAAAACAATTCCCAGGAACTAGTTCCTAGAAACCCCTTTAGAATTTCAATTATTTTTCAGAGAATAAGTTCTAGAAGATGGCGCCATCATTAGTTCCAAGATTTTATACAAGAATCTGAAGAAGTACAAATTCTTTGGATCAATTCTAGAAAATGTTTGTAAAACAATTCCCAGGAACTAGTTCCTAGAAACCCCTTTAGAATTTCAATTATTTTTCAGAGAATAAGTTCTAGAAGATGGCGCCATCATTAGTTCCAAGATTTTATACAAGAATCTGAAGAAGTTCTTTAGCTATAGAGAACAAGATAAATTATCTTGTTTGGAACAGACCTACTAATAAAAAGGAAAGTGTTTCTCAGAAAATTCTTTAGAATTACTTTAGAACTTCAGGCGAATATGAATTAGTTCTTATTGCACTCATTCTAGATGTAATTATTGTATAAATTCTTCGGGACAAATTTTTCTTCTTTAATAAACTAAAATACTGCAATATGCTAAGGGGATTGGGAGTTTTTGGGGGGAAATATTATATAATTAGCTTAATCTAATGATATGTAAGGATATATTTTTTGTTTGTAAATATATGTTTTGCAACCATAAATCCCTATATAATTATTTGTTGTATTTGTTTTTTTTTTAATAAAACAACAAACAATCGATAATAAAATAAATTATTACATCAAAATACACACTTAGATATGTTTTGTGGAAAAAAATTGCCTTAAATATTAAAAGTAAATGTTAGAGAGTTCACCTAAAACCTAGAAAATAATAATGATCATAATCATAATATTAATAAGAATAATAGAATAAATATTATATATATAGTTTTGTATAAAAAAAAGACAAACGATCACTTCTCACACTTCACTGTTACACATTCACACACACAGTTTTTTTTTTATAAAAAAGAATAGCAGTTGCTCTTCGTATCTATGATAATGTTGTTCTTTCTTTCTTTCTTTAATTGTTGTTGTCATTGTTTTTGTTGCCTACAAACTTTTTCCCCAGGATATAGTATATAGCTAGAGAGAAGAAATCTGTCTGTTGTCATCGTCGTTCAGTTTTCTTGTTTTCAGTTTTTTGTTTGTTTCTTTTGTTGTTATAGAGAGTTTTGTTTTCAGAGTTGGTGTTTTGAAATTTTGTAGTTTGTTTTGAGAAATCTTTGTATTTACCACTGACTCCACCAAAGTATTCCTTTAAAAAGTACACAAAAACGTCACAAGCATATTTACTGGTAGTAAACGCCATAACAACAACACACCATTTGTGTCCAGTAAATCACTGGCCGCACTCGGTGATAGACCAGCACAGTGCATTTTTTCCAATGGCATAGCTTGGACATAGTATTCACGATTCTCAACGGGCATATGACAAACGGGTTTCTTTTTCTGTGCCATTTCATCGTCTTTGTTCTTCAGATCTTGCAAGAGTTTAGGGAACCAGGTCAATTCACAAGAGCATTGTAAAGGATTATCTGTAATTTGTATTATGAAAAATGAGTTGTAAAATATATTTGTAATAAACACTTGCCTGTTATATCAATTATTCTTAAAGTATCGATGATATGCTCCATTATATCTTGCGGCAGCCGGGTTAATTTATTATTTTGTATATTTAAAGTTTCCAGGGAATTTAAATTTTCAAATATCATACTAGGTAATACCTTGATACTAAAAGAAAATTTCAATATTTGTTTTGTTTTTGTTTATTGTTTACAGGTTAATTATTATTTTGGCTTGATTACTAAGAATACCGCAATTAATATAATAAAATGTTTCGTAAATTTGCTGAATTGAAAATTAAATATTCGCAAAAAAAAAAAATAATTACAACTCAAGTTAATCCGCAAATAATTCAAAGAAATATGGGGAAAAAATCAAATCAGAAAAAACTTCAAGATTAATAATTCGCAACATATCAAGAAAATATATATAAAATAATGGGGTAAGTCAAATTTGTTTTTATCTAATTTTATAGTTATACAATTATGAGAAATATTTTAATATAGTTAGAAATGGGTTTTTCTTAATCTGATGATATTGTATTATAAATGATAGTTAAGGACCCCATTCTCAATATCTGAGTTTTTTGTTGCTTTTGAAAATATACTTTAAAAACTTTAAACTAATTAGGTTTGAAAACCTTTACCCAGACATTGAGTTGTACAATAGACTGTTAGAAGAAAAACTTCGTAACTCCTTCTGAAAATGGCGGAGAGAACAATTCGAACACTTTTGTCTTGGTATCTTGGTGGCGTTAATGCTGAGTGTCTGCGAGTGTAAGGCCCACTCTCGAGATAATAAACTCAAAAGCCTTTATGACTAAAGGTTATCTTTTAACTAGTCCCATGCCCCTTTTTGACCTTATCTACATATTTCCTGTATCCCTTCCCCTTGCTTGTAATTGAAGTGATGGGTAACATGGTCGAATACCTGATAAATCCCCCGATCGGTTATAAATACTAATGCACTTAACGTCCTTTCCTACTCATGGGACCAAAAAATTGATGATGATAGTAGAAGTTAGGTTAGGATAATGTTACAGAGAATGTGTTCAAGAAGTTATGGTGAAATCACTAAATTTATAGTTCCAAGACTGTAATTCAGTTATTTAAAACATCGACAGTCTCTGATTTTAGCTCGAATTGGTCTCAGTATTAATGAACCAATTCACCTCCTAGATATTGAACTAGTTCTATGAGTGAGCATCAGTAAACATCTAGAGTTTTTTGATCCCTATTATAGTTTGTATTCCTTCCCCTACTTGTAAAGTTGACGTTGTTGATTAAAGTATCGAAATCCTAAATATCTAGCACCTCTGTGCTATAACATAGATTGGCTGTAGTTGCTAATGCAGTTTAGGTCCTGCCTGAATGATCCATAGCCTTGCTGAGTGCGTGCCTACTAATAGGACCAAACTATGAAAGATATAAATAAATCACAAAATTCGGATCAGATCGTCATCTGAATCCGACATTCTAGACCTCCAGCAAAGAGACTTTCGTTGATCTTTTAGATCGAATGAGTGACAGATACAACACTCTTCTTATCTTTAAAATCTTAACGAATTATAATCTCCAGTCGGATGCCAAGAAGTCAAATCCAAACCCAGTACACCCAAGGCTTTAGCCGACAAAGAAAGGTCCAAGCGTAATCACTCTCAGTCAAGAGGCACATTAATCGTTATAAAAGGGAGTTGTTGCTGATAAAACGCCAGAGGAACCTTCAATACGATGAAGAGAAAGTGCCACTCTCAGACAGAGGCCCATTAATCGTCATAAAAGGGAGTTGTTGCTGATTAAACATACTCAAGGGCCCGCATCAAATTCGATCACATACGCCAGAGGACCCTTCAATACGACGTAGAGAAAGTGTCGAATCCATAGCCTGTACATCTAAGGTTGTACCATACAAAGAAAGGTCCAAGTGAAATCGCTATCAAATAGAGTTTAATTGTAAAAAAGGAAATTGGTGGCTGAAAAAAAACTCACTCTCATATCCGCTAGACGACCCTTCAATAAAAAAAGAGGAAGAATCAAACCTATATCTAATGTATCTAAGGCTGTAGCCAACAAAGAAAAGTCGAAATCGCTCTTAGATAGAGGCAGATAATTCGCCAAAAACGAGGGAGGTTGCTGATAGAATGCTCTAGGATCCATTAAATACGATCACGTCCGCTAGACCATCTTTCAATAAGAGGAAGAGTCATATCCATACCCAGTACATCTAAGTCTGTTGCAGACAATGAAAGCTCTGCTCTCAGACAAAGACTGATAAATCGCCAAAAAGAAGAAAGGTTGCTGATAAAAAAAACACTCGGACCTACATCAAATTCGCCAGACGTCCCTTCAATAAGATGTATATCTAAGGCTGTAGCTGACAAAGATAGGTCGAAACGTAATCGCTCTCAGATAGAGGCAGATAAATCGCCAAAAAATAGAAGTTGCTCATAAAGAATTCTAGGGCCCACATCAAATACGATCACATCCGCCAGACGATCCTTCAATAAGAGGAAGAGTCAATACCATACCCTGTATTCGACAAAGAAAGTTCCAAGCGAAATCGTTATCAGACAGAGGCAGATAAATCGCCAAAAAAAAAACAGGTTGCTGATAAAAATAATACGAGGACCCACAGCAAATACGATCAGAACCGTTAGATCTTCAATAAGATGTTGATGGACTATCTCTTAATGTTACTGGCAACCGACTATGTTATTAAGTTAAATGAATTTGTTCCCAAATAACACAATTTCCCAAATAACTTTCTCTGCAAATACCTCTACATTGGCACATACATATCTAGCTCCCGGAATTCCAGAATTCTATTCAAAACTGTATTATGGAAATCGCTCATAATCGATAGTATTCCATTTGAAAGATCTATTTGCGAATATCATTTGATCGATCTTTGACTCTCTCATCAAGATCGACGCAACACGAATGTGTTAATTAACAACAAAAATCATGATGATTAATTGGATCTGTAATACGATTTAGTTCCCTTTTTAGAAAACACCGAAATCATTTTACAGAATATTTGTACCGATTGCTCTCCTTCGTGGATTCTATATTTAACTACTTCATATATGTCGTACTGGACCGACTTTACTTTTTTACTTGTATAGGTTGATAAAAGCGTTTGATTTAATTAGGAGGAAGTTACGATCAGTATCTGGAGGTTAATCCTTCAGCAGTCTAATGTATTATTTTAATAACTAATTAAACTAATGATAAAACTTGTGAATTGATATTTTTAAGCTAATATGACTCACAAATCTAATTGCTTACCAAACAAATTACTCAAGAAAAGCTTTGAAAAAAAAAAACAAATCAGAAAAAGAAAGAAAAACTGAAATAACATAATACCATGTTTTTTCCATCTGATACCTTCCTCTCTCAGTTAGTTCCTTCTTAAAACATACATCAATTTACAAACAAAAATTAGCATTTTAAACTTACTCATTCTTTTGGAGATTAAGGAAAGTTAAGGAATCACCGTAACCGGTAAACGCGTCATCACTAATGACACTAATATTATTATTTCTCAAATCCAAATGGCGTAAACGATGTAAAGGTCTTAAAGCTTCGCTGGGTATAGCCTGTATATTATTATCGCCCAAACGTAAATATTGTAGATTTTCTGAAAAAAAAAAGTTAAAGAGAGTTTTTTAAAAGATTTTTTCCCTTATTTAATTTGTTAAAATTTCACGATAGACACCTTCTAAGCCCTTAAAGGCATCTTTATCGATATTGATGATTTTATTGCCCTCCAATTCCAAAGAATTTAATAAAGTTAAATGGGAGAAAACATTTGCCGGCACGGTATTGATCATATTGTGGGCCAGTATAAGAGAATCTAGATTTTCAAGACCTATAATAAGAAAGCAGGGAAGCAATTAATAACTTAAAAAGTTAAAACAAGATAAGAGGTTTGGAAAGTCTACCTTCAAAATCTCCTTCGCGTATGGTTTTAATTTTATTTTCTTGAATTTCCAATTTCTTCAAATTATCCAAAATTGAGAGAGATTTTTGAGGAACCGCAGTCAATTCATTGCCACCCAAATTTAAACGTTTCAAACGTCTGCAATTAAAGAAATATTAAATGTTTACAACACTCGATATTGAAGGAAATATCATTAGAATTTAAAGAGAGTGATCGATTATATTCGATCCAATAACTTACTTTTCTAAACCTCTAAAAGCCTCTGGCTCTATAAGATTAATTTTATTTTCATAGAGTGTTAAAATCTCTAATGTATCCAAACCCTCAAAAGCATTATTGTGAATAACCGTGATCTTATTGTGATTCAAATTTAAGATCAACAAATGATAAAGATGTTTTAATGCCAATGAGGGCACCGTTTTCATTTGATTAAGTGAGACATCGAGCTGTGTTAGACCCTTACCTGTTAAATTAAAATAAAGAAATTTTAATAACTTTTTCCAATTCCATTTAAAGGGTTATATATAACTCACCCAAAGAGCTGAGAGCATTTTCTTCAATGGCCGCTAAACTACTGTTGTGTATGGTTAAATGACGTATATCCAAGGCTAGGAATACGAAACCTTGTAATTTAGGCAAATTATTATGACGCAATTTCAAATAGAATATAATGGGACTTTTGCCCTTTAGCGTGCCCATAGACTTGGTAATGTGAGTCAAATCGGTGGTCTCACACAATATATCCAAACCATTCTTCTTTACCGTACAAACACAGGGAGCAATATCGTTTTGCTCGGGACATACTTGCTGTTGAGCCTGATTGCTTTGCGCAGCCACTAGATCCCAACAGTAGGATGATGTCAACAGTAATACGGCGGCCGCTGCCAACAATGTAGAATCTCTACTACGTGCTAAGCTAACTGATGGCATTTTTGAAACTAATTTCATGTTTATAACGTTCGCAAAAAAAAAACGATTTTCAAATGCCAAACAGCACTTGTACGATTATTGGCTGTTCGTATGCTCTCCACCGCTCTCTGTGGATCTTTAGTTAGAATCCACTACCACACTCACTGCACAATTCAAGTGGCCCTCTCCGTTTGTCTTTTTATTTCGATTATATTTATGGGTTTATATCTGCTTGGTTTAGGGGATAATATTAAAAAAAAAAAAAAAAACGAGATAAATATTAAAATTAATTTATTCTTTTCTAGTTTATTGAATTATTTTATTGTGCATATGTAGTTTCAACAAACATGTTCAATAACCCAGCAAAATTATATAGAAAATTGTGCAATTATTTCTCAGAGCTGATTCCTATATTGACGTTTACAAATAAAATTCTCTACAAAAAGAACTAGTTCTAAAACAGTTCCAGAGGGAGCGTATTTGTATTCCCTAGAACTATTTCCGACTTTGACTATTGCAAAAATTTTTGATAGATGATAGACCCAGAATCGTTCTGTAGATCAAATAGCGACTCTATAACACTCCAACAGAACAAAAACAAGTAAGACCTGTAGTTTGATTACATGGACGGACAGACAGACAGAAGGACGGACATAGCTAAATCGACACAGAAAATGATTCTAAGCCGATTGGTATACTACCTCTATAGGACCGCTATTATTGTGCGTTACAATCATCAGCACAAACCCAATATACCCTTCCCCAAAAATTTATTCAAAACTGGTTCCAGAACCGTTTTGTAGAAAGATTGGCGACTATATAACGCTCCAAAAGAAACAGTTCCAAAGGTGATTATTTCTAGGAAAAATCATTATCTGAATTTTGTAAAAGATATTCTCGAATACTTCCCTAAAACTATTTCGGAAAGTTACAATTTCAGACAAAACATATTAATGAAGGAACTGTTTCAAGAATCGTTTTGTAGAAAACAACTTTTTCATAAAACCGGTCTTTCATTATTTCTAAAAGAACTCGATCGGGAACCATTCAGAAGTTTGACTCTATAAAGCTTTTATAGAAACGGTCCTGAAGGTTAAAATTTTGAACATAAATCATTAGTCTCCATATCAAACTTTTACTAGTACTTCTTGTGAACATTGAAAACTATTGAAATGGGTCATATCTAGGGATTGCAAATGGGACAAAATAATAATGATTCTTGGTCCTTATTAGATTTTGAGACAGTATAAGCCATTGCCGTACGTTTTGAACTGTAAGAGAGCCTTAATTGAATACTCTTCAAGAGGTAAGTTTTGCACGAATATGTAGCCAGACATTCGGGAATAATCGGCAATAAAGAATGTACTTGCTATAAAGTAAAGGGAAATCGAGGAAGTTATACAGACGAAAGGAAAAGTGAATCCTATACGCCCACTTGAAATAATGAATCGGAAGATGGAAACACAAATATTCGATGTGTTGACCCTAACGAAAGGAATACGAGAAGTCTCTCTAAAATGAACAAGTTCTTAGTGGACTCACAGGACTTAGGGCGAAACTATAGACTATTGAACGATTATTAACTGAGTTTCTGAACATCGCCTGATAGTACTTTCATAGAGCAGTATACAAGATTTTTCCCACCAACATCTTTTATGTAACAGAGCGCTGCCAAGATATTTAGATCGAAATTGGATCCAAATATTTTGGGGAGTGATGTTATTCCAAATTTTCCTCAGTAACACTAATTGGAAAATTCTATGGGAATTACATCTAGAAAACTGAGTCTCTGAACATCGGACCATAATACATTTATGGACTAGGTTTTTCCCAACAATATCTTCTATGTAAAGGAGCACACAACAATGCTTATTGGGTCTCATGAGAATTCCTTCTGATTTGTTATTGTATACATTCTCCTTTCAACCTAACCTTACATAGCCATGGCCTTCACGATAGGGCCTAGGCAGGAGAAGGTAGAGAAATATGTTCACTATAAAATTTCGTAAAATTTCAACTTAAATCGGGAAAATAACATTTAACGCTTTTGTATTCATAAATATATATTCTGATTCACACTAGAAAAATTGAACTGAATTTAAATTGAATTCACAAATGTCGCTGGTTTAAAGTCGTAAAAAAAAATTTATGTATTCATAACAATAAATTGTCCACAATTGAGTTCAGCTCTTCATTAGATTTGTATACAAATATTTTTATATATATTTTTTTTTCACAAGTAAATTTTATTATTAATTCATTTGGATCCCATATGCATCATCTAACTCTCTATATTCACTCAACACTTTAATGTTCATTTTGATATTTAGATGTGGATAACACACATTATTCTTGATATTATATTCATTGTTTGGCGCTGTTTTCAATTTAATCATATAGAAAATTATTCGTTTAACTACGTTAGTAATCTATTATCTTGCTGAGGGTTAATATTTGTCTCTAGTTCTTTCACCTTTTTTGTTATTTGTTATTTTTTAAAAAAAGGGGAAGGGGTTGTTTATTATAGACATGTTTTGAAAAGATTTCCTAATGGTTTTACAAATCAAATTATGGACCGTATGCTGTTTTAAAGTGCATTTTTTACTGAATAAAAATTGGTCTTTTTTGACAGATTGCAGTTGAGTCCATGTTCCAGTAGTGTCAAATTTGCATATAGTAAACATATGCCATCAAAATTTTATAATATTTCATACATTTGTACTACAAATATTTTACCTTAATTTAAAAACAATCTACGAACTTTAACTGTCTTGAAATCGTATTTAAAATATTCTGTCTAGATTTAGTTTTTCTGCTAAATTTAATAAAATTGATTTTTCAATTTAACGTCTGAGTTAAATTCACTTTTCTTTTATACTATAAATAGGATCCTTAAATAAGAAGGAAGGAGTATATGAATGACTAAATTTTGTCTCGTTACTCATACATATATAAATGTATGTCGTACGCACTGATGTATACAAATTTACAATACATACTCAACTGTTTGTAAAAGCAACTCATACACATCCTTACAATCACAGACTTTCCACAATGTTACAAAAAAAAAAGTCCAGGCATGGAAAATTCAGTACTTTAGTACATTTTTCAGTATTTTTATACCCCCATGTATATAGTCTAGTCTAAAGTCTAGTGTATATTCTAGTCTATAGTCTAGTCTATGGTAGGTAGGTAGGTAGGTAGGTTGATAGGAGGATGTATACTACATCAAATCCGAAGAAATACACCTAGGCCACTATCGGGCCTGTTGTGCGCTCCAATTCAAGAAAAAAAAAAAAAAAAAAAAAAAAAAAAAAAAAAATTGTTCACTGAATGTATTATTTTTCCATGTTCAGAAACTCAGTTTCCTGGACGTAATTCCTAAGAATCTTCCAATCGGTGTTGGTTAAGAATGTTATTTCTGGAATAACATCACTTCCAAGATACTTGGATCTAACTTCGACGAATGCCTGACAATGGCAAAGAAAGTGCTCCAGAGTTTCACTGTCCTCTCCACATGCTCTACATTCGTCTGAATTCGCACGTCCAATTTTGTATAGATGTGCTCGTAATCCTGTGTGTCCACTGAGAATACGTACCATCATACTAACCTCAGACTTGCTCATTTTGAGAAGATTTCTCGTCTTGCTCTCATCAGGGTCACCCCATAGAATCTTTGTGGTTCTACCCACCGTTTCATTATTCCAAGAGGCCTTATGGGATTCTCTCATCCATATTTTTAATTCAGCTTTTGTTGCGTCGAATGGTTTTGCGTTTGTCAGGTTAACTACATCGAGCTCCCTTCCCTTTAAAGCTATTACATTCGCCCTTTCGTTGCCGACTACTCCCGAGTGGCCTGGTACCCATATGATGTGAACCTTACCTCTGGGAGAGTATTCAGTTAAAGCTTTCTTACAATCCAATACAGTCTTAGATTTAATTCTATCACCTGATATCGCACAAATTGCCTTCTGGCTGTCGGTAAATATATTAAGCCCTGTGGGCGCCATATTTATTCTAATCCAATTTACACATTCCGTTATTGCTCGTACTTCTGCCTGGAAGCTTGTGTTATGATTAGGTAAACGGTGGTATATTTCTGTTTCTGGGTCTTCAATATAGAACCCCAGACCCACTTTGTCCCCTAATTTAGAGCCATCCGTGTAGCAACGGATTCCTACTGGTATTTGCTCTAATGTTCCGCTTGACCAAGACATTCTATCTGGGATTAGCGTTTCAAAGTTTCCGACATATTCAGTGTCTGGTATGCGATCAGGCACGTCCGATGAATGTGTATAACCTTCCAATGTGTCCAGTATACATTGATGACGTGTCCTATAACCGTTTTTGGCCAGTTCGCCTAAAGTAAAGAGCCGTTCGGCTGTAAGCGCCGCCTCATATCTTATATATGTTTCAATGGGTGGAATATCTAGCAACGTTTCCAGAGCCTTGGTTGAAGTAGTACACATGGCACCACTTATACCCAAGCAGCATGTACGCTGAACTCCCTGCAGTAGTTTGATATTACACTTTTTGTCCAAAGCACTCCACCAAATTATTGAAGCATAAGCTAGAATTGGTCTAATTACACTTTTATAAAGCCAATTTGTCATAGTAGGACTAAGACCCCATTTCATGCCTATGGTTCTCCTACATATCGCCCAGCACCGATGTGCCTTGTTGATCCTATCCTCTATGTGGTGTCTCCATTTTAATTTCCGGTCAAGTATTACACCTAAGTACTTAACTTTGTCTGTCACCGGTATCTTCTTGCCCAAGAAGCAAGGTTCAGTATATGTAGAAATTTTTGTCTTTCTTGTGAAAAGACAGATTTCCGTCTTCGCCGGGTTAACATTGAGGCCTCTCGGTTGAGCCCAGCTCAAGGCCGTATTCAGAGCCTCCTCAGCTCTTCTACACAAGTAATTTGGATCCTTTCCCTTTAAAAGTATTACGACATCGTCTGCATAGCAGACAGGTCTAAGTCCTTTCTCGGTTAGGGTCCTTAGGAGGCTATTAATCGTGGTGACCCAGAGTAAAGGTGACAAAATGCCACCCTGTGGTATACCGCGAAATACCTTTTTCCTGATAGTTATATCGTACATCTCGCAGCTTATCCATCTGTTCCTTAGCATGTAGTTGATCCAGTTACGGAGCACCCGGTCAACATAAAACTGGTCTAGGGATTGGATAAGGGTATCAGTGTGCACGTTATTGAAAGCGCCTTCGAT